TGTTAGCATCCAAGTTTGAACGAAGTATAGTCTGTACTGGGCCAAGTGGCCCATCAGGCCGGAGCTTATCCTGGTTTCTGTGGCATGAAGTGACCAGGAGCACTTCTACTTCCCCTTGATTGGGAAGCTAGTCCATTAGACACCCTAGCATTAACTTCACCAATACCCTTTTATATAAGCTTACCTGGGTAGAGAGAGGCACTGTGAGAATAATGTGTCAGGTGAAAAAATAGACTGATGAACATGAATTCAAATCAATTTATACTGTCCTGAATGTTGACAGTGGCTTCACAACACAGAGGTAGAGGATTTGCTCTGGAATTGACCAGAATCATGTACGCCATGAAGGGGATAAGCGATAAGGGGGGTGAATTTGAATAAACCCCCAAAGAAGACTAATTTTGTGGTAGCTCAACTTAGGTTTATTTGACCCCTAAAAGCTTGCACTAAAAGGTGAGATATTTTGTGTTGGTGCATATATATGAGACCAAAATCTCAAGAGTGTCCTATGCCCTCAGGGTTGCGGGTTTGCAAATAGGCAAATACCCGGAACTCGAGCAGATAGAAGTATCTCCCCTTAGCCATATAATTACCTGCCTCACATGATGCTTGTAGTGATTTTGCATCTCTTCAGGTAATTTTCTTATGCACCTTAGCAGATGTCTGTAAAGTACAAGCGGTGTCCTAATACCTTGCTGCATCATTATATCCGGCTAGCTGTGATACTACCGTTGATTTACATCGACGGCTTACATCAGGACTAACTGGTGCAATTAGTAGCCTGGCCTTTCTGCTGTGTAACCTCCCATACTTTCTGAGCTCCTCCTTCAAATTGAGTTTCCTCTTCGCTCCCTCTTAAAGCTCTCGCATTATGTCACTTCATCCAAGTTCTTCAGATGGAGAAATAGTGGTGGTTACGGGTGCAGCAGGATTTTTAGGCCTTAAAATAGTGGAGCTGTTGAATACGCGCGGTGTAAATATTCAGGAAATTCGGGGACTTGATATTTGCCATAGCGAGCCATCTTTCTTCCTTCAGAATGCTCAGGGAGGAAAACTGAGCTACATGCGAGCGGACATTTGCAATTACGAAGAGGTAAGCTTGTGTGACAAAATAGAACCGCAAGAATCAATGGCAGTTTTGTGCAAAACATTAATATACACCACAAATAAAACCTTCGTAGGACTTGGTAGACTTGCCAACCTGTAGGAAAATGCAGTGGAAAACTGGAGATTTTCAAATTAAACCAGTGCATCGTTGTGTTGAAGTCTGAATATTCATTAAGAAACTCATACAGAGGCAGATGCAGCCTTCTTAATGTCATAGTGTCAAAGGTGACTCTAAGAGAGGGCACACCTCTCCTTATGGCTGAAAAATGTAAGCCCTGTTTTTGGCCAAAATGTTTGCACCCCCTTTCACGTCACCCCTTCCCTTTTTAGCAAGGAAGGCCCCATCACGAGGTGCACATCTGGGGCTGTGACTAAAAGTGGGACGGGGACTTGGGGACTGTGATGTGGGACTCGGGATTTGGGACGCGAGGACTCGGGGACGTGGGACTTGGGGACGTGGGGACACAGGGACATGGAGACTTGGTCACTCAGGGACATGGGGACGTGGGGATTCGGGAACATGGGATGCGAGGATGTCAGGACTCGGGGATGTGCAGGGACTCCAGGATGTGGGATGTAGGGACTTGAGGATGTGATAAACAAACAACACCTGATTTTTGCGCTGAATTTGTAAAATAAAATTTTCGGCGGTCAAGGGAAAAGTAATCTAATAAACAATAAGATTATGAGCTCGCGGTTTCTATTTAAACAATAGAGTGCTTCTATCAAGTAACTATTGGCTGATAGTTGCCCCGCGGAAATTTGATGCTCTTTAAACAAATATTTGCCCAAGAAGCAAAGCTTCCAGGGCAAATATGCTAGTTCGTGTATGATCCGTACCCTCCTTTTAGGGGACCTCTGGAGCTGCTACTAACTACTGGGTTAAAAATTATCACATAGGTGTAAATGTTGAGGCACATGATAGAGGAGGCTTTGAAATGACTGCCACCTACATAAAGTCTGTATTTGCTGGAGTTGGCTGACACACAAAGCAGAATCTCCTTGCAACTGAATTTTTTGTTCTGTGTAGGCTCTATTGCAATTTTGCATTCGTTTGTTCCACAAAATCAGTGCCCGTGCTGGAAAATGTACCTCCTAATTGATATTCTTTGTTTTCATGTCACATTATAAAATTCTAAAATCTACAACCTTAAAGCCACCTGAAATTTATATTTAATGGCTATAAGACCTCCAAAATATATATTTTCTTACAAGTTTTCGGAGTGATAGAAAGATAGATGGAGTTTCTTAAAGTTTAAGTTTTCACATGACATGACATCAAAATGGTAGCAAAAAGTTGATCCTATACCTTGAAAAGAATGGCTCATCATGATTAAGAAAAGTGTTAATGTGGATGTTTACTGTATCTTGAGGGGTTTTTGTTCACACTCCTTTGCTATTAAATTTTAAAGTTATTAAGCAATTTGCAATAAGTATTCAGTGCTTTTCTTCTTTTCATAAAGGTCAGGGCAGTTCTGAGGAATGCAAGTGTTGTCATCCATACAGCAGCAATAGTAGATGTAAATCTTCCATCAGGGACAGCAATGAATGCTGTTAATGTGAAAGGGACAGAACATGTCATCAAGGCTTGTTTAGAGTGCAATGTCGCTAGACTTGTATACACAAGTACTGCAGATGTTGCACTGGGTTGGTCAGATAATTACAATTTGAATGAGGCAACACCTCCTCCAGGCGATAAAGTGTCTGATTATCTTTTTGGCCTGTATGCATTTACTAAAATGCAAGCTGAGAAGAAAGTCCTGGAAGCTAATGGAAGTCCTTTGGCAAATGATGCAGTTCTTGCGACTTGTTCATTAAGATCACTGGTTATGTACGGGGAAGGAGATCAAGCCTTTATTCCTAGTGTGATCAATTCGGCAAAAAATCAGTTTGGTTATTTACCAAGAATGGGAAATGCAAGGGCCAAGTTTCACACTTGTTATGTGGGTAACACTGCATGGGCCCATGTGCTTGCAGTTGATGTATTGCGGAAAAACCCAAAATTGATTGCTGGGAAGGCATTCTTTATTGGAGACAACACCCCTGAATGTAACTTTTTTGACTTAGTAGAGCCTTATTTGTCAGCTACTGGGTGTAAACTACTTAACATATCTATTCCTTATGTAATTATTTTCTTCATTGCTGTTATTTTGGAATTCATAACATGGATATTACTTCCAGTTTGCAAGCTTTCTGTAGCATTAAACAGGTGTTCTGTGTTTAGTGTGTGTAAGGGTTACACAGTTAGTTGGAAGCAGGCTCGGAAAGAGCTTGGCTATCAACCAATGTTTTCATATGAAGAATCTAAGAGGAACACCATTAGGTTTCTGGTAGAAAAATTCAATTTGAAGAATTGACTTTGGATGTCATACAATATTTAGGGGTTTTTTATTCATACAATGGGTAGTTAGTGCCAGCCCTGAGGCATTAACAGCCTGGGTTAAATTGAAAAGTAACACAAGTCAAATTGAACCAGTGTCAGCACAGCTAATTAGAATTACTTTGTGTTATAACATCATTGAGGTGGCAGGCATACTAGAATAATAATAATAGTAATAAACATTGGTTCATGTTAGAGGCCATCTTGCAAATGCTGGGAGAATTTCCCGCCAAAATTCTTCGCCTCGTTCTGGCCCTTTGGCACGGTGATCTGGGTTACGATATGCACATATGCGTATTGCGCGACAAGTTTTATATTTGCAACAAGTTTTATATCTTGTCAACAAGTCTTTTCCACAATTTTTATATTTGCAACAAATTTTATATATTGCATGACAAGTTTTATATGTGCAACGAGTTTAATATATTTTCTGACAAGTTTTATATTTTTTTACACATGTATTAAAACTGCGTCATAAGTTTTATATTTCGGAGCAAGTTTTATACAGAAACTAAAATGTTTTGATAAGTGTTATAAATGGCAAGAAGTATTTCTGATACAAACGGCATTCTTCTAGTTTTGCCAGTAAATAGAGTTATCGCCGAGCTCTCAAGTCTCACGCATTGAGCGTGAGACTCACGCAAACGGATTCAATCCTATGCTCTCTGCCCCCAGACCCCCCGTCACGAACGACGGCTATGCCGTCGAAAATCTCACTCTTTGGCTACTTTATAGAACTGTTCTCTATCGATTCGAGGCGATAAACTCAAAATTTTACCGCGTCTTTTAGAGCTTCCTTAAAAGCTTCTTTTCTCCATAAACGATATCTTGACCAGAGCTATCACACTGTTCAAGACAGGTTCAAAACCAATACACGCCACTTTATAAATTGTCATGTCTGTTGCTCGTTTGTGTGAAATAAACCTTTCGAGGATAACAAGAGCTCTAATTAACGGGAGCAATCACTTCACTGTCTAGGAGCTTTACATTGAAGATGTGCATGTAGACGAATATCGGCCTTTGACGAGGACTTCATTTAAGCGCAGTCGGCAAGGGCCGAAAGATTTATTAAATGGCACAACCCGTTTGCTTTCTAAAGTAGGTGTTATGCTTTCCACAGGTTTGCCGACTGGTATGTTTTTTATATTTTCTTGAATCCCTGTTTACCGTGTTCTTGATCACTGCAAAAAGCAAAGCTCGGACAAAAGATGAAGCCAGTTCGTTTTATAAGAAATGCGAAAACATTTGGCAGGAAAATTTGCATTGGAACATGCAGTATATACGGGTTATTGACCAAGTGTGAGGTCAAGATGGCTGGATATTGGTCAAGTTCTATTTTTGTGAGTTTATGGACCGAGACGGAGTCGAGGTCCATAAACTCGCAAAAAAAGAACGAGGCCAATATCAAGCCATCTTGACCGAACGAGCTTGGTCAATAAAGGATTTATTATATGGCTTTCGGGGACAATTTTCTTGCAGGACATGGCGGGTAGTCCCGAGCGGGCAAGATAGCTCCATCTTGCCCGCTCGGGTAGCCAATCACAGCGCAGGATTTGATTCATCTT